AGATAACAATATGTCATCTAAATGACTCAGGTTACATAAAAACACGACCAATGCGACATAATAACCCTAGAAATAAAGATAAACAAACAATCTAAAGCTTCATTAGATACTACCTTCTCTCATTTAATGTTATATATTATTTCACAATATATAAGCAGGTGGTAATGAGATACTGGAAGATAAAGAGAAGCCGGCCATCCTTTTTGACATATAGTTTAGGTTTTGATGCGCCATAAACGTTTATGATATGAATGATTTATTGTATGTTGTTTTGCGTCCCGTTCGAGAATATTTCACTCATATAAAGACGTCACCATATACCGGTGATAGACTTCAAATTAAGGTCTTTACTTGGCACTCAGGGCCATTGAGCAATGAGGGTTCTTTATCGTACCAACGCCTACATTGGGCCTCGGATTTTAAGGTCTTTTCCGAAGGACCCGCAACTTTCACTTCAAAGTGCCGAGTACTTGGCGAAGGAACAGTTACTACCTATTTTTTATCGACTTCGGTCAGTCGCGGCCGAGATTTGAACAAACGACCTTTCGATCACGGAGTGAGCGCTCTACCGACTGAGCTACCGTGACGGTATCTATAATATGAAAGAGATGTGACAGACTATTTGTTGCTCTTTTTTTCGAGGTTACTTAATATTCTGAGACGAATTAAAGTACATAAATTCTGAGACGAATTAAAGTACATAATAAAAAGAGTAAAATATTAATAACTTAGTTGAGCTTAATGCATTAGTTATGTTTATGCATTATCTACACTTTATGTTCGATGGATTTTTTTTTTTTAAATTACGTGGACTTGTTGCACAGAAAAAAAAATTAATGACAAAAAGACATAAGAAATAACATTTTATAAAGGAATCTTACTTTAGTGGACAACAAATTTTCATTTCAAAATATTGTAAATTGATATCATTTCTGAGTGATTACTTCGGACCTAACAGAGCATGCAGTAAAAGTTATATCTGCAATATATTCTTAAGGTGTTTCCCATTGTGTTTTATAATACAGTTTGCGGTAACTTATACACTCATTATAAACATCTGTATATTAACTTTACATGTATATTGTGTGATGTTGATTGCTCTAATCAAGTGATTAATATTTCTAGTATGAACAAATTGTTGTCGAAGATCTTTCTCCCTCCCCTATATTGTTCTCAATGAAGCCCTACCGTCCTACCGCCTGAAAAAGAAAGACATGTGTCTAGCATATTGCTGGTACTGCATGTTTCATCTTGGTTGGGTCTCTGTTTTGATTTTTAAAAAAGTGTCCTCCTCCTTCAAATCACTCAAGATCCGTAAAATATCAAACTGTTCCAACTGTAGTAACCTCTCACTACCTAGATATGACGTCATAATAATATAAGACGTCAAGTCACTGCAAACGTGAGCTGACATGGCGGGAAAAGTGTCACATATACTTTTACATTCCTTTCACATGATATGTAGAATAATCTTGCGTTGAAGTTAAATTCAAGTGTCTGGATTGTTTTTTAGGTTCCGATGTGCTATTATGATGTTAAACATTTGCAATTTGAGTTGCCCGCGTGGCGCAGTGGTTAGAGCGTCTGCTCTAGAGTCGCGAAGTAAGGAGTTGATCCTTACGTCGCTGGTTCGAATCCCACTGTGGGACGTGGAGACCGGTCCTTCGGATGAGACCGTATAAACCGAGGTCACGTGTCGCTGTAGGTGCTAGCACGAAAAAGACCCCTCTCTGCTCAATGGCCGTAAATGCCGAGTATAGGACAAAATTTGCAGCTCTCCAACGGCAATTGGTGGCGTCTCCATGTGAGTGAAAAATTCTCGAGAGGGACGTTAAACAGCATACAAACAAAATTTGCAATTTGATATCGTTATTCCTTTTGCTTGTCCGATATGCATGTATTCAAAAAATAACAAAAAACTGAATGTGAAACGCTCCCCCTTAAACGTCTGTAGACAGAGTTAGAACTTATGAATCGTGTATATATTTGGCACAAGTGATCAGTAATGATTAATTGAAGATATTCTGTGTGAATCTACTAGAAAAGTATGTCCTCTAGTTGAATTTTGCTGAGGGATTGTCATGTTATTTATCTTATTTTATATAAATTGCGATGAAGAGTGGAAAATGCCCCCCTGTATGTGGGTAAGTTGAATTTTTCCTGAAATATTTTCATCAGAAGTAAAATTTAGACTTGCCCCCAGCACATTATATGTACCATAGTTCACGATGAAATGACTAATATAACAAACTTTTCACAATAATCTTGTTTTGCACCTGTGCAGATTCGATTTTTGTGCAACATTTAGGAATTTATAAGTGTCCATCACGTGAACAACAAAGTCATGTGAATCACAAAAATGCTTTCATAAGACCTGATTAAACTCTCATCACAAGTTTACTGCAAATTCATACATGGATTACATATTGAAATTAAATTAAGCTCAAAATAAAATGTATATTTTAATGCATATTAAGCCTTCGTACAGCCTTAAAATAGTTGCGCATTTTTGCATTTGTTTTCAAAGGAAACGTATCGTAAAAAAAGTATATAATATCTCTGTTACTACTGCAAATTATACTTTAAAAATCTAAATTCATAATAATGTAACGATAAAAAATAATAAAATTTAGAGATGATTGTCGAATTATCTCTCCAACTACAGAAAATAAATAAGTAAATTTACTGATTCTGTATCTTTCAAAATGTTTGTCGTGCTCCGGCATTATTACTATCGGATATATTATATCAGCAATATTTTTAATAGAACTCAATATTCTAATGCAATTGTTTTGTAAAACACATTTTGTTTGGCTAATACACTGATGTTTGAAGCAGTAAAAAGAGCATTAACGAGAATGAAAGCTTTTCATTGTGATCATAATAGAGCGATTCAAAAACACAATGGACTGTTCGGCACAACAACGGTAGAGCGCTCGTTCCGTGATCGGAAGGTCGTGATTTCGAATCTAGGCCGCGACTGACCTAAGTCGATAAAAATGGGTAGCAACTGTTCCTTCGCCATGCGCTCGGCACTTTGAAGTGAAAGCTGCGGGTCTTTGGATGAAACCTTAAAAACTAAGGCCCAGTGTCACGGCAGGCGCTGGCACGATAAAGATCCCTCACTGCTCAATGGCCCTGTGTGCCGAGTAAAGGTCAAAATTTGAAGCCCTTCAGTGGTATATGGTGACGTCTCTATATGAGTGAAAAATTCTCGAATGTCCCATTAAACAACATACAATCAATCAATCAATCAAAAACACAATGCTCCATGACGTATTTTTTTAATAACAAAACTCAACACATCACACAAAATGCTTTATTGCATAAGAATGACATATCGTTTAATTTCGTAGTTGCGACCGTTAATGCTGATTTAACGGTCGCAAATATCCGTTTTACGCGTCGCCGGTAAAACTCAGTTTAAATTACCATTAATGGTCATAAATACCAAATTAGAAGATAGTTATTCCCTAATTATCAAAAATTCTATAAGGTTTTCTACAATCCTTCAAAAATATTAATTTGTTATGCAATGCAATTGTTAATTGACGTACGTAAGAGACACTGACAACAGTGTAATAGAGCATATTATTTAAAGGGACCTCGTATGCTTTAAAATCCGTATAGGTTCTGTCTTAACTTTAAAAAACCTTTGCAATTATTAACTGCTAATGCAAAAATTTTAATTTAATTTAATTCATCAGAATTACCACATTGTTACCCTAAAAATACTCTGGTAATCTATAGTTTACTATAGTAAATTATAGTTTACTATAGTATCTAAGTTTTTACTATTGTAAAAGAAAGTTTTTTCTTAAGTAAATTAAAGTAATTTTACTATGGATCTCGGATTGTTATAGTTTATGTTCTCCAATTTATATATGTATGTTTTTATATTAAATGGAACTATTACTTGTATATTCACATATTATTTCAAAATTTTACATAATTGTTATCGAATATAAGAGATTTTAAATCTTTGAAATAAAAAAAAATTCCCAGTGTAAAGTTTCGTAGTAAATCAAAGTATCAAAGTTTTAACTATAGTTAACTATAGTAAACTATAGTTAACTATAGTGAATTTTGGTTAGGGTATATTTTCAAATTTAAAAAAAAAAGACAATGTATTCGCAAGTTTCGAGATTATTTTCCTTAGTGCGCTCTTTCGCTACGGAGGGGACTTTGGTTTCCACGTAAACCGATAGGTGGGACAATTATTGGATATGTTTGTCAGAATGCACTCATCAACTCGAAAATTACCAAATTTAACTGAAAGTAAAGAAGTCATTTTTTTCTACCAAAAAATCGGAACAAAAGAAACTATCAGTGGAGAAGACTTTTCGGACGAGGAAGAAATAATAGGCGTGCACACGCATCTGATCATTGCATGTCGGCATTTCTGAATAACACGTTGACTCTTCCCTTATAATAATTTCAAAGAGTCCACTTACGTTTTAGAAAAGGTTTGTACAATCAAGGAAGTGTGTTTTTACAAAGTAATATGATAAAAACTATGGCGGTTCTTTCATTTTCAAGCATCGGACTTTCGTAATTGAAAGTATATTTTGTAAATCATGTATAGTAGAGCTCAATAAAGTCATCAAAATCATCACTGCTTGACCTTATAATCTTTCTATAACATTAAATGAATTTTAAAAGCCCTAGCCATCGTTCATTTATTTATGCACGTTTGTGTAAATGGACAATCTGTCCCACTTCAATGCTGAAATGGACACTATTTGCGCCTCTATTGTTGGAGAGCTACAATCTCCAAACTTGCGTATTATTAATAATTTTTCTTATATTTTTGAAAATTATATCCTTAAATATTCTATATATAACATTAACTTCAAAATAGTTTTAACGCTTTTAACACAGCTGTCAAAATCTAAAAGATTCAAAGATATTCTGTTGAAGATAAGAATTATTTTCATTGTCTAAGTAACTGGATCCGCTTTACCATCTATTTAGATTGTTTAAATCAATATCTGTGTATGTTAGAAATTAATTTCCTTAAAATAAACCTTTCCAAGAAGTTGTATGCATTTTCGAATCGATGCCATCATATCTGAAGACAGTAAATTCATGGGGTTTGGAACGCTGAAATTTACCGCACACTTTTCTGTGCATATTTTGTCAACAAATTTATCAATGCTTGCAGACATTTTAGTTTCCTGTTTTGAATCAATTGATAATAAGTCTGTAACCTTCTGATACTTCATGTTTTTGCAAGTGATTACTGCTTTATCACGATTTTCCATGGATTCACAATTGCAGTATATTAAAATAATACATGTCCTTAGCAAAACCTCTAGCTCTATCATACTGTGATATTCATAAGACGAAAATACCGACACTGTGTTGAAGATTAGTAAATATCCTTCGACATTTAAAGAATTAAGCCCCTGAAGTAAGGTTAGTATCGTTAAAACTCGACTGTTTTTATTATGGCTTGCCAAAGCTGTAAGCAGTGACTCCTCTCGGATGCTAGAGATAAGCTGAAAGGTGTACAATGGATGCTTTTCCATGTCGCGAAGTAGATGAACAACGATAGTTGAAACGTCTATGTCGGGTATTTCTAGTGACACTATTATGTGAATAATGGATTTTCCTGCGCCATCTCTGTAATTCAAAACTGCAGTTTTTGCTTCCTCAAGTGTAAGAAGAGAAGTTGTGTCTGTTTTTTTAAGCAAATTTTCATCATCGGCACAGCATTCTCCGAAAAGTTCAAGATAAAAGTAAAGTTCTCTGTGTTTGTTTGCATGCCTTTCTATAATGCTTTGAATCGATGCTGATAAATGAAATAAATGATTTTTCCTCACCCAAAATGTTATTGGAAGAGAATGGTCTCCTGGAACTAACAAAAATCTCCTCACGTTTTTGGAATTCTCTATTATACTACAAAAGTGCTCCCCAAATGCACGATTCATGAAAACCCTACAAGAGAATACTTTTGAATGGTTTCCTTTCTCTACTTCCCTATAAAGACGAGATGCCATATCATCGTACTCCTTTTCCTCCCTACACACAAATTCTTCACACACAAATGCATTTACGGGAAAGTATTTCAGGACTTCATCAAAATGTTCTGTAAAAAAGTAATGTCCTACTGCTTGGCAAATTGTTTGGTGTTTAAATGCAAATACCCCCTCCCTAACTGGTGTAATAAGGTTAATTTTCATGATTTCATTTGCTACGTCTGAAAGTTTGGTAAATGAATTCGACCTCAAATGTAAATCATCAATTAATCCTGGATAGTGTTCTTTTAAAAACCTTACGCAATACTTGGGATCTTTCAAACTAATGGAGTCAAAAACACCTTCAGTGTCCACTTGTATTTGATGAAGGAACATGACAAGAAATAATGATTTAACTTTGTCAGTTCGATCAACATCAATTTCATATTTGATTTGCCTCCTAATGTATTGTATTGGTTCTTGAAAAAAATGTATACCAGAATCCCTATAATCTTTTACGCATGCATACAAATGAGCACAGAGAGGAAAACCAATGACACTTTTTAAATTTTTCAATTTTCTTATAAAGTCAGGGTCTATCTTTGGAGGATCAAGACCTTCAACAGTTTTTGCATATTCAATTTGTTTATCTAGAATAGCTTCCTTTTCTTCACTGGATAATTCAAATTTTTCTGTTCGAATGAAGAACTTCTCACGAAATACTGAAGTTCTTCTTCGCATGTATTGGCATGCTTTGTCTATCACGTTTTCCTTTGCTGTAATTAATATTCTTACTTTTCCCTTAGATTTCTTCCGAGATTCACTAACGACATTACTAAAAGTATCCCACCATTTATCAAGTTCATGACTATACATGTTACAATGTACCATCATAGATATTGTCTATAAAAACAAGTGTATCTTTTGCTGCATCTACTAATTTAAAGTAGGACCATGACGTAAACTTTTGCTTAACCCACTTTTCGTATGAAGGACTCAGCATGATGTGCACGGCAGCGCTTGTTTTTCCGTTTCCAGGCTTCCCAGTCAGAACAGCAACACCTTCTTCCTGCAGGGTTTCCGTAGCCTTTCGACAGAAACTTGTTTCAACAAAATATTTATCGAAGCATTGAAGACTGTACAGATATTTCCTTGTAAGTTCTAAAGAAAAGGTAGAATTGTAATTAATAAGTATCTACTTAAGTTGCTTACATATGCATTCTACAGGTAATATGAGTGCATAGAAGTATTGCATTATGGTGTGTATAATTTTTTTTAAGGCTTTCAGTTGCAAAGAGAAATGATCAATAAAACAGTTTTTTCTTACTTCATTTTATGAAAATACTTCACTCAATTCAAGATTTTTAAGTATTATTGTTGAGTTTATTGTTTGAATTTTTTTTATATCACAATTTCTTCTATTTTTTTTTTCACAATCATTAATTATTTATGATCTGTTTCTTTTCAAACGAGTGCTATAAGAAGCAAAACACTTCAAATTTCCATACATACGTATGTAAGGGAACACATTATAAATCCTCTTATCATTTTGAATTCTTTGAAATTGTTATCAAACTGTTTGCAAAGATATTTGCATTCTTAAATCTCCAGCTAAATTCATTATATTTTTCATCAGACATAGATATTTGAAGCAAGTGATGATTGTGATTGATTCATACCAAGCAAGTTCAAATACAACTAGTTCTAATTGTAAAGAGACCGTTACAGATGTTCCCCAAACGATCCACCTACTCCTTCTGGGACCCAATTTCCTATGAGCTTCATTAAATTAAGCAAAACTGTGTATTATAGATTTTTACAAATACTTTTCTAAAGTATTTTGGGGGAATGAACAGTGCATATATAGCACAATAAGTATAAGCATAGATTAAAGTACACACGAATGTACATGATTTGGAAAATTACCATTTACATGTACATCATTTCATAGAATGCTATAATAAAGAACTCCATTTTAGATTTCAAAGAATATCACTGAAATCGAAGAAAGTTTAAACAACATGAATATAAGCCAATCAGAAATCAGCACATGTGCATGCATGTTCGTGTATTCATTTCTTATGATTGAAAAATGTAGGAACTTGTATTACTTACATATACATGTACTCTAAATTTCATCTTTTTTTTTTAAATACTAAGAAAGTTATAAATACTGATAACCTTGGGCAATCAGATTTCAGCACACATGCTTGCTCGTATTTTCTAGATTTCTCATTCTTATTCTTATAGTGCTTTATAATATATATCAATGTTTTAAATTTCGAAGATGTATTTTGAGTAATAGGAGAAATGAAGCCTTAAAAGTATTCGCCAATCAGATATCAGCACATGTGCATGCATGTCCTTGCATTCCGTCTTGATAGTAGCTAAAAGTAGGAACCCATTTTACCTACAAGTATCTATATTCTATATTCATAATGAAGACGCAATATGTTAAACAAAGATGTTATAACCATTTAAAGTTTGCGTGTGCTGCCAATCAAATTGCAGCAAACGTCCAATCACGTGTTTTAAAGACATTCCATATAATCATATTGTAGAACCTTATAATATACCAGCAACTTAAATTTCGAAGTGTTTTGACAAAAAACAAGGAAGTTATTAAGATTTTTGTTTTACATGTAGCCAATCAGAGCGAAGCACACGTGCACGCACACAGTTCATTATAATCTGGCATGTCATCGCGACTTATTTTTATGTTATGAGTTTCAAAGCATTCCAAAAAAGATGTAAAAGTTACGCCTATATCAAGTGCATTGCTTATTTCACTCACTGCACACGCGCGCACGTGCATGCATGTGCATGCTGACCATGTCTTGTCTATATTATTAATATATCCTCATATTCTTAATATCAGAGCATTTCATCAAGAAATAAAAGTTATACCTATATCAAGTATATTGATCATTTTACGCATTGTACGCGCACGCAAGTGCATGCATATGCGCGCAAAATTACCTTCGTTCCCGACATCTACACAACATGCCTACTAACCCTAAAAAGGTTTCACTTCAATCGGATGAGTAGTTTCCGAGATCACTCGCGGACAAAAAAGTACCCAGAAAGAAAAAAAATAAGAAGAAACAAAGTAAAAACAATATGTTCCCAAACTTTGTTTAGGGAACATGACAATGCAAAGAAACTGTTTTATGTTTCTTGTGTAACGATGCCTTATATTTATAACTCAAAATTTTTCAATTGAAATTTCGTTCATCATAATTTACAAATGTTTTTGATTAAACAAATATAAATGCATCATAGTGTTGAAATCTCATCCGTGAACAATCTGACAGATAAACAAGAAACAGTAGCGATAAGCACTATTCGTAAATGTATTTTCTCTCGAAGCTCACTGATCAACGTTACTTGAACGACATTTCTTTCTGAGTATTAACATTGTACTTCGTAAAAATATACGTGTAATCCGATCATAATAAAAAGGTGTTTCACAATTCATGGTAAAAAAATTCCATTTACTTGTACTGTATGTCCCTCAAAGTAGTTATAACTTTAACCTTTCTGCTGTATTTTTCATAATAATGATTTCATACTTTAGACCATACATGATTTTTCATATGAAAATGGTGATAACGTAATAAAAGTAAAAATCAATCAATACAAATTAAACAAGTAAGGATAGAGAGCTAGCATTAGAACTTGGCAATTTAACATACGTTCATTGTCTTCTGATGTTGCTATTATATCGTCAGCTGAAATAAAAAAGGAATAGATTTTTTAATTGAAAATTTAGTGCAATGACTTGGTATGGAGTGGTTGGCGTAACGTAATAAATCAAAATAAACTATTTCTATTTAAAACGCAGAAGCATATTATTTGTTTATTTGTTTATTCTAAAGATATTCTTAACGTTTCTAGAAGTTACACATAATGCTAATGGCATGATGTTAAAAATATGCCAGACACATGGGTATGATCGAGAGAACGGTATATATTCGTAATTAATTTTGACGTATTTTACTTCAAAAAAAAAAAATATTAGCATAATTTCTATTCATGCAATCTTTTATACCTTCCACTTTAAACTCCAATAGGTGTATTTGAGGGTTGTCCAATTATTTTGTGAACATTTCCTTGAAACTTAATAAATAATAATAGTACGTCTTTTAATTCCAGTAAATTTCTCCCACCGAGTGAAAACTAAACAATTACATGTTGGAACAAAAACACTCAAAAAATCACCTGGCACTGATTTATTAAATATATTCATCTTCAAAATGTTCAAGAAATATACTGATTGCACATGATGGGACAATATTGAGAATTTGAACACTAAGAACGATAGCCCATTTTGTTGTTTGGAAGTTCTACAAAAATCCACCGCATACTCTTAAGAAGGGATCCTTAAATCTTTTCATATGAAATATTTTTCTGATAATAATATCAATATATGGAGTTAATGCTCATGCGCGTTTACGTGGAAAATTGTGACTGTGATGAAATGCCAAGAGATTATTTTACAAAAGTTCATTCTATTGGTTTTTTTTTTTTTCATTTCAACTTAAATTTTATTTCAAGTATGGAATTTTTATAGCCATCTCATTTGGCCGTAATTTGATCCATTAATTGGGTATTCATAAGTATTTAAGGCGGTATTTATTTGAACAAAATGGACAAAAGCCTATAGGCCTACAGGGAAGCTTTCAACTATGTATTATTAACGCTTACTTAGTGGTACAAAAGAAATAGAAATATGTTCATGAGTTAATATTACAAACTCATAACTATCTAGCCTTGGATAATGACTCATCCTTTTTAAGTAAAAAACTTGAATTTTCGTAAAAGCATCGATGTTTAAAGTTTATTTTTATTATTATTATTATTATAAAGATTCATTAAAATGTTCTGATGTCGATAGAAATGTTTGAAATTCCAACAGTCTTATAACTGGTCAGCATGCTGACAGAAAAGGTTAAATGTTAATTTTTTTTCTTTATAATTACTGTTGCTTAGATCTTGAGATGCAAACATTTCCTTCAATTTCAATTTATTTAACCTCATAAAGAGTTTTATCTCATACGTGTGGATGACACTACCCATGAGATAAATCTATGCTTTATCCATGAATAGGTGCTTTATCAATAGCACTTCCAGTTTTGACACAATCCCTCGACTCAATAAAAAAATGAATGATTATGAGCGAAATTCCATTTTGAGTAAGAAAAAGATTCGTATACCTCAAACAAATGTCAAATTTTATCACTGTATACCCTAGTACCATAAGCACTGTCGCCGTATAAGGAATGACTTCAGAGTAGGATCCATGATCCCTGGGTCTTAATTTACAACTTTCAGTCAAAAGTTCGATTGAAATAAATCTCCAACAGATTCACATATGTTTTGAACGCAGATAATTATAAAAGATTTTATTTTTTGTACATGATCTACTTTCTTACGGCATGTCAACATCAACAGTGCGACGTCAACAGTTTATGCGTCATCATGAATAGAAATCATTCCTAGTTTCACAGGGGCTATCTCAAAGTTTTGTTATAAAAGAAAATCGTATTAGATAACTAGAACCTATTGTTGTGTGATTTGATATTTGCTTTATCCAATTTGTTGAAAAGGTGAATATTCGCTTGGTAAACCTCGCTAATATACACCATTTCAACTCATAGGATAATGCAAATATCAAACCACACAATATAGATATCCTCTATATATCTTCATATTTGTGAACATATAGGAACTAAATAAAATAAAATCGAACTTTCCGTAGAGCAGTTCTTTTTTTAGGTCACCTGGTCACTCAGGTGACCTACTGATATCCGTTTTTGTCCGTCGTCGTGCGACGTGCGTCGTGCGTCGTGCGATGTGCGTTAGCATTTGAACATTTTCAGCTTCTTCTCTGAAACCGCTCAACCAATTTCAACCAAATTTGGCATTTAGCATCTATGGGTAAAGGGAAATAAAAATTGTGAATTTCATGGTCCCTGCCCCCGTGGGGCCTGAGGGGTGGGGCTAAAACCACCAAAATTAATGCAATCTTTAAAAATCTTCTTCTTTACTCCTGGACATCAAGCAGTCAAACTGTTGGCATGATTGTAATAAGCATTGAGCCCTCTACCA